GACGAGTTGTGTGAATTGCAGTAATTCACGTTCCGTGACATAGGATGTGTGCGAGATCCTCTGCTTGAAGATAAAACGTGCATATTGTAATGATCACTGTCCGAAAAGAGTGCAGAAAATCTTCAGCAAGGAAATAGTGCTCGGTATCCAAAAACTACGATAAGCAAGATAAACGTGAATCACGAGATATCGATAAAGTAAGAAGGAGAAGTGCACAAAGAAAATACCCTCCCTTTCAAAAAACGAGAAGAGCGTCGGGTGCAGACCAACACCACAAGTGACGACGGCCTCCAAGTAAATCTGGTTAGTAGTGGTTCATAGTGATAGCTGATTTTTGGTAAATGATAGTTGTAATTAGTGACAACTGATAGAATACAACTGCAAAGCTTAAAGGACGAATTCACGCTGGGAAGGCAACCCATTTCAAATTAACTCAGGGATGGTGAGTGGTACACGAAAGAAGGAAGAACCATGAGAAACGGCCCAGAACCCGAGAAATGGGACCCCTTCCTTCCCCGCTGATTTGCGCATTGATGCGACTCTTATCGCTGTGCCCTCCTCAACATCACGCTCTCTCTGCTATCTAATCAATCCCACGTATAGATCTGCGGCGAGTGATCAGCTGGTCGGTGGGCGGAGATCGCCAGACCCGCCAACTTTGAGGCATAATAGGTCGCCGAGGTCAAATTTTTCGATGCGAATTGCGCATCAGTTCGCACCCTCAGGAGGTCCGTGGGTTACTCAACTAGGTGAATTACTTCTTCCTCGACCTCCATTCTAATCGTAAAATCCTCCTTTAATCTTTTATTTGCAACAGAAAAACATTTCCATTTCGTGGAGGCCTGTCGTCACTTGTGGTGTATGGTCTGCACCCGACGCTATTCTCGTTTCTCGAAAGGGAGTATACCTATTGAAGATTCAACAAACTAAAAAACAACATTACATCTCAAAGCGGCCGCCGTCTGCATAGGCAAGCGCCCCGGATAAGACTGGTGTGTACCGGGCGGCTGAGAGGAGGTTGCACAGAGGCTCGCAATTTTGGTTTTTTTTTGCGCCGCCCGCAAAAGAGTTAACGGATTAGGTCGCTCCTAGTAGCACAATTTGGGCTAACAAAACTGGCACTGAATTGTGAGGTAGCACCGAATTGCTCTCATGATATCCTTTCCCCTACTAATCAGGCTTAATCCAGGGATTGCATCACTCACAGAAGCGTAACTTGAGCTGGATCCACTGACCATTGCTTGAAGACATGCTACGTTGAGCCGGCCTGGAGCTTTCCTTAACGAGTTCTCCAGCTATTCAAAGTTTCGATAGGGCTCCACTTTCATATCTTCACCTGCAATTAGAGATGGTGCGGAAATCCTGCAAAATGCCAGAATGCTAGTTAAATTTAGGCCATAAACCAAACCCCCTCCACAAACGCATTTATTTCCAATAATCTCACTCGGTCCGCGATCTCACACCCGCAGATGGCCGTTGTTGCCGTGACAACAGTCAGCAAATTTTGTCGCGCAGCCGGCTGTCGTCCTGGTGGTTTGCCCCATCTTCCTACCTGAAGCTTAATTCACGAAAATGTCATTCGCTCCCATCAAAGACGGCGAATTCACCAGCACCATTTACGGAATGGTTAGCAATATCTCCTATAAATTTTTTCTCCATTCCTTTGTTTATTTATTTATCGATTTACTGCCGGAGGTAAAACCGTTATGACAACGCATCGCTTTTGTGATAGTAACAGCATTTACTATATCGAACCTATTTTTCACTGGTCGCATTCACCTGAAGATCGCCGGGTAGCTTTTTGTCGTAACAGCGCAGGTAGAATTTTAGGCACTGGCAGGCCTTTCCAAATATTCAATATTTTTATCAGGAAGACGCTAACAAGGGCGATGCCTTTCTCCGGCCTAGCGGCGGTGACCATCACACTGAAATTAAGCCTGAATTTTTGAGGCGAATTGAGGATGATTTACAAAAAATCGTACAGGGTTACAATATAAGGCCGTTCGCAAAATTGACAGCGAAAATCCGTTTCAAGAAACTGATGGTTTCCATATAAACCGCAGCCATCCAGTAGCGATCAAAAGTGTTTCGGCTGAAACAATTTCCTGGTGCATTTTCTGGCTTGACAGCGCCATCGCCTGGCGAAGATTGATATACGACCGTTTTATAGTGTTTTTATATCCTCAAGCCCTAAAGAATCAGGATGTTTTAAAAGAAAAACTCCCACGAAACTATTGATTTTTTTGCTGACAAAAAAAGAGAAGCACGGAAAATATTTTCGGCGAACACTTTTGACCGCTACTGTAACTATGTACATATGGGTGAAACTCCAGTTCGGGGGGGGGCCACTCCATTGTTTCTCCAATACTCGAGATAAGGATGACAGCGCTCATGATACGTAACCAACTCATTCAGAGTATACTTTTGATAAGTAACGGTGTAATGGGAAAAAAGCCGTGAGATGCTTTAACCTTTCCGCCTGCCATGGTCCAAGGGAACGGTCCTGGACCGGAGAATGGATACCTCTTTCTAGGGCCAAGGGTGGAGGAGCTCCAGGGTGGATGACCTGGTGCAGAAAATTGTATAGGAGGTGGGCAGAATGTGTGATGGACAACATTTACCGGTCCTTATCGAAAGTACGCTCGAAATTAATCGTTTACTTGATATCTTATCCATGGTGTTGGATAGCCCAAAGTACCACTCGTTAGTACTACGGATAAGATAGCACTGGAGTGGCCCCCCCGAACTGGAGTTTCACCTAAATATGTATTTGCAGATAAAGAAGGAAAGTACAATGAGGTGATCCGAATTCTTCAGTATGAGGTGCAGCGAGCTCCAACGGTACGTTAACCAAACAGTATCATCAGATTTTATCCGATTCAACTTCCAGAGATTATTTTTAGAATCGCGCTGCGTTGTCCGCTGCTGGATTTGCTGATTAAACTTTCACCCCAGTGAGGAATTTGCAGCATTTCGATTGCCACTCTTTATCCGTTGTTTATAGTGGGAGCCTATTTTGGAATCCGAATCGTGTAGTACGCGCTTGTATTGACTGTGTGATGTCCATTCCTTTTTCCTCTTTTCGCTGCGATCCTAGAGATTTGGGGCTCCTAATCATAAGTAGTGACCACAAATGCCCGTCTTAAGCAAAATGAGGAAATATTCTATGCCCGGACGCATTAGCATGTCTGCTAACTTCGCAAACAAGGAATAGGAGTCGTAAGCGGTGAAACGGCATCAACGGCTATATCTTCAAGGAACCTTGGAATATAAAAGCTCCATCCTGGATGTTGGAACGTTTTTAGGAAGAATTCTCGAATTTCCGCACGTATTTGTGCGGTTGTCCCATCCGCCACCAGCTATATAGTTATTTGGTCAAGGTGGGGACTGGCGACCTGCAGCCGGCAAGAATTGAAGGAGTCCCTAGGCCGATGTCAGACTTTGCGAATCGCGCGATTCGCTAGCGTCCGCGGTCGCGTTGCGGTACCAGCCAATTGAGTGATTCACTGGCCGCGACGCGACCGCAGACGCTAGCGAATCGCGCGATTCGCAAAGTCTGACATCGGCCTTGGGGCTCATTCAGAAATGGAGTTTTATATCTCAAAATTTTCCAACGCATTCGGATTTTCATCTCGCGCTCTATGGTTCCGTTTGGTCGCTTTATGTTTCATCTGGCATGTGGCGAATAAAACTCGCAAGTTCGCTCAGCATTTCCAAACGCGACCAATCCCTTCAACTTCCCGTTTGCATTCCCTACCGAGATATTTTGCCGTCCCTTTCCATAGTCATACCGCCACATTTCCTTTTACTAGTTGCATCGCCCACCCAGCCTTCAATTGACTTGCAAAGCCGGTCGACAGCATTGGCGACTGTTACAGAGAAGCATAACGCCATCAAAGGCCAGTGTGCAATGGCTGAGGCGGAGCGGTTCGATACGTCATTGGCCAACATTTGTGAAAAGGCTTTGAGCGATGTTCCTGAACACACCCTTCAACGCCCTTCCACTAATAACAAAAATGACGTCACTAAAACCGCCCCTCCCCGTCGCAACCGCTGCCTTTTATAAAATTTGACCTGAATCGTTATATTGAAGATTCGTATCTCGGCAATTGATTCTCGCGCCCCATATGATTTTTCCTTCCAGGATTTCATCAATGCTGTGGACGCCTATTCGCAGTTATCACGTCTGTTTCCGAATTTTCCCGAATACAAGGTCTATCATGCGCAATCGCTCTACAACGCATTCATGCTGCCAGAAGCACTTCAGATCGTTTCTACGGCGAGTTTTCCGGAGCTTTTTTTCTCTTCGTTTTCCTTTATTTTTCTTTTGTACTTTTTCGACATTTAATTTTTAATTTCTATTAATTCTTTTTCTTCTGCCTAAAGCCTAGGCCAGAGAAAAGGGGGGGGGCTGATGACAAAATCATTACCGGAAGGAAAAATAAGTGGAGGAAAAACTGCTTACTTACTCAATAACTGTGGTCCGACCCAACTTCAAACGGGAGGCGCCTGGGGGTGAAATACCCGTTCTGAGGGCACACACTCAACAATTCCGCTCTTTCGCGCCCTACGATCTTACTCACACTCAAACAGCGTCGAGGAGCTTATGGTAAAATAAAAATAAATAAAAAACTCTCGTTTTGTCTGAGGGTCCCTGTACTTCACCCCCTATGAACGATCTAAAATGGAAGAATTCTAATACGATATTTGAGCGGAAGGCCTTTTCAAACTCAACTTTCAATTTCAATTTCTCATTAACGAATTCTTTCAAGCTATTATTAATTGCTACTATTTTTTTAAAACTCCTCATTTGCTATTTCTTTTATTATTACCTTCTCATATTAATCCTTGAATGACTCCATGAGTCTGTTCCAGATCGAAGAAGAACATCTGCTGGGTGAGGTGGTCAAACTGGAATCCGCCATCAAGTACCGTGAGGAAGACATGAACAACGCCGCATTCTCGTTGAGCAGTACCCAGCCGATGATCCGGACACCGAAATGAATCTGGCATGTCTGGACTATAAGGTATGGGTGGAATGGAAGGTAACCTCGCACGTGCGGTTACAATAATTTTGGCCCACCTGAAAGGTTTTAAACAACAAGTACAGTACTACTAGAATCCTCAGAGTGTTTCTTTCTAGGATGGAGATTACGACAAAGCCTTGGAGCGCTTCAATAATGCAAGTTCAGTCATGGGCTATCAAGTAGGTGATTTGGGCGTGTTGAGCCATTTTTATTACCGCAATCCACTACAAGTCCACTAACCCTTTCAGCCAGAACTCGCCTATGCCATAGCTCTCTGCCATTATCGAAAGAAGGAATACCAACAGGCGCTGAAATTTATCACTGACATCGTGGACAGAGGGATCAAAGATCATCCAGGTCAGTTTTTTTGGCAAACTCCACACTCTTTCTGACGGGCACCACTTTGTGTACAATTGAAATAATTCCTACCATGGCTGGCAATTCTTTTCCAATCCGGGAGGCTCGCAATTCAACCCATAAAAACTCCAGAAAACCCAAAGACCCATGAACAACCCATAAAACTTGGGCTCTACTGAGATTCAGAGTCACAGTTTTGATTAAGTTATTGAGCTATTCAAGCTGAATAATCAAGTACAACTCTTGTAAACCACTAAGGTTATCTCTAGGGGAGGCGATAGACTCACGCTGCTACAACTTTGCCCATGGTACCAGTAACGATTTAAGTGGATGTCAGACTCGGCGGCAGTGCAGCCGTGCACGCTGCCGCGATTGCACAATCGCTAAAATCTAAGAAAAAATCTGTTGCCCAAAAGGTCAACGTCCTTTAGGGCGTTTTCCCTGCGCCATAAGCGGACGATCATCTTGTTTGGGAGCTACCCAACGAGGGCATGGGATCGGGTCCAGTGCTGTGCTGCGCCAGCATTTTTTGGAGATGTGGTAAAGCAAATTGTTTTTGACGCGGGAGGGAAGGAGGTGGGGGGAGAAAGAGAGGAAGGAAGCTAACCGAGAGAAATCTGGCTTAAGCGACAAACATTTGGAAGTAACTGTTTGTGCACCTGCTTTAGGTGTGGGGCCTCCTACCATCGGATCATAAAGCTTTGTGTTGCAGAGTCTCAATGTCGCGAATGGTGACTGAAGGATGGATTTGCCCGTTCTTTGGAAACACAATCAAACTGCCACGAAACGTTCACGGTGAAGCCTTGAACCTAAATCGCCGTCGAGTACAAGCCTGCAAAAATTGCTAACAGTTATTTATGATTTGTGGTCACTATTAATTGAGATTCAGTCAAAATAACAAAATCTGCCGCAGGCCTCTGCTGCATGAATCAGTTTTTCAGTCACAGGAGCACAAGAGGCATTGACTGACATGCCGCCACGGATCAGAGGAAGAGCTCGATCCTGTCACGCTTCACAATCAAGCTCTTATTGGTTCGTTTCGTTTCCTTGCTCGCTGCTTAGCAATCTTACCTGTTCCCAGTAGAAGCGCTGGAAATTCAAAAATCGTTCTGCTTTCTAGCTCGCTCGTGAGCTGTCCTACAGACAAAAGTACATAGAGTGGGAAAAGTATTCGATTCGCGGGCATAGGGCCGTAGCGAGGTGGGCAAAAAGGCAACCTTTCCCTAAAGAAAGATGCCTAGATAAATTGAAGATCGAAGAAAGGAAAACTTACCTAAGAGAGACAGGCAGATCCCTTGAGGGCGGATCGACACGCAAATTCGCAGGAGGATATGTCGCGCGATGTAGCATGGTCCTTCCGGCGTCGCCAAATCGAAGCACCATGCCCACCAGGCTGGCCAGCTACTCGCCAGCAAGATCTCAAGCCATTCCGGAAGAGAGGAGAGCGCTAGCGCTTGAATAGGCATTGTTCAATGAGATCACTTTATCGGGAATCAACGGAGATGAAGGGCGTTGCCATTCTTTTTTAGTTTCTTTTTTCGGGTTCTAGATCATTTTCTCAATTTTTCTCTTTCGTGCATCACTGACCATCTCTACCTTGATTCTACTGGACCGCCTTCTCATCAAAAACTCCATCCCTACTTTTTTCCTCTTCCTTTCCTAATTCTCAAAGATTGATCCTCTTCAAATATGATCGGGTTTCAGGAATCGATACTAATCTAGCGAACGGTTTTTCGAAAAAATTACAGTATCTGTTGAGCCAAAATCCGTTTCCACCTGAGACGTTCGCCAATCTGCTATTGCTCTACTGCAAATATGAGGTGAGCGCTTGTTCGTTAAGGGTGCTCTCTACCTAAAGTAACCGTGTGCGACAAGCCATAGTCGACGGCATTGGCTGTGAGAATTTGCAGAGTAACAATCGCTGAGCGTGACTTACCAAATATATCCAATTTTTCAGTACTACGATCTGGCAGCTGATGTGTTGGCCGAAGAATACCCACCTCACATTCAAATATCTTACTCAGGTATGACGAAGACACCCCCTTTAGGTACCCAGCAGGAGGCTCGTCGAGCGGCAAGAAGGCAGAGAGCAGACGACCTCAACGGACGGTCGCAGGCATACTGCAGTGATTCGCGCAAGTTTAATATAATTACACAGCACTTCCCACGGCGCACAGACTGCGCTGCAACTCGTCCGTGACCCTCTGCGTCTCTGCTTTGCTGCCGAGCGACGGCCTCCTGTCGACTACCCATCCCCTCCACAATCAGCCTCATCTATCCAAGAGCATTTTACAGTACCAGTACGATTATTTGGATGCTCTCATCAATCTGCAAACATCCCCAGAAGAAGCCTTTGCTAAATTTGACGCGATGGCAAATGACCAGATGAACGAACTGCGAAGTCTCACAAAAAGAGTTCAGGTGAGCCTCTCCCAGTAGGAGCTGAAACCACCTGAACCGTGATCGGACTACTGCAATGCAAGCAGAACGTTCTACCAATACCCTCTGATTCAATATTCTTATCGAAATTCGTCAAGTAATGATGAAACAACGGCTCGTAAAGCGGTCGAGGCTTTCGACGAGACCCTGGAATTGTAAGTTCTTCCCTTTCCAAATCCAAGTTACCCTCCTATTCCCAAGCCCCGTACTCTACTGAACCTTCCACAGGTACTTACCGGTGTTGATGTCACAGGCGAAGATCTACTGGGACAAAGGTGACTATGCACGAGTGGAACGGATCTTCAGGTGAGACTAGGGCCACAAGAGGTCTTAGGGAGGGGAGGAGGGGGGGGCAGACTCAAGGTTTTCTGTAGCCAATCCTCCTGAATGCTTGCAGGAAGTCGGTCGAATTCTGTAGTGAACACGACACATGGAAACTGAATGTGGCTCACACGTTATTCATGCAAGTAGGTCAACTTTGCTTTGTGCAGTTTTCACTAGAATATCTAATATTTGTTTATTTCAACAAATAAACAAATCAAAATATTGTTTGAATTTTTTATAGTCGTAGATCTCACATTTAATTCTCACACCTTTTGCAATTTTCAGGAGCAGAAATTCAAGGAAGCAGCAGGCTTCTATGAGCCTATTGTCAGCAAAAACTTCGTGACAGTGAGTTTCATGTTCTTTTTCATTTCTCTCAGTAAGGCCGGTGCCAGACTCTGCGAAAGGTTCGCTAGCGAATCGCGGGTTAAGCGTTGCACCGACGGTTCGGACGATGTGCCAGCGACTCCACCAGGCAGGGTGAAAATCGGTCGAGGATTTGTCGACGACTCGTCGAGGATTTTCGCCTGTTCAGTCACGCTCTCCCGCGCGGACATTCACTCTCGACACTATTCTCACACAGTACAGAGCATGGTCGAAGAAATCCTTCACCATGGCTCTGTTGACCCTTAATTCACCGCCATTCTGCCCTGATTACGTGACTACTTGAACTCGCCCCTGTGTTCTCTGCCGCGAAAGGCCAGAGCACAGACGATTAGAGAACGGCGCCTGGCTCGGCTCCAAATCCCAAGAAGAAGGTGAGAGCCCTAGGACTAAGCCTTGGAGGGAGGAGGGACTCCGGAGTGGGTGAGCCAATCATATTGTGGCAAAATTTGAATGCATCAGATCACAGTAACCATAAGCCGCTGTTCAGGCGAGAGAGCGCAGGCGAAGGCATCAATTCGAAGCGGTTTAAAGGGCGAGTTCAAGTGTCCGTAGACCTTCTGTCTTCACCCTGCTCCATAGTGTTCGAAAATGACGGGAGTCCCTCTCGTTCGTACATGGACTCTCGCCACTTTCCAAAGGCCATCATGCCCTCTCGCTCCCTCATACATTCGTGAGCCCAGGAATGTCGGCAGTTAACGAGCAAGCGAGAGCAACTCTGCCCACTTTCAAACGCTGTCGAGTCGCCTATACATCGCTTGAAACAGTGG